TTTGGAAGTGTACACATTCTGGCAAGGTGGTTTCGTGTTTGGGGTGGCGCGCAGGATCTGGGAGCCGGAGGGACCTTGTGGCCGAGGGCGCTCGACCCGGGCGGAGCTGCGCTCAGAGTTACAAACTCTATTGTGACGCACTTACTACGACTGACGGCCGCTGCCAAACCTTCTCCAGACTTGCTGCCCTCAGCATTTTCGGCAAACAATGGGGCCGGAGCAGGGAAGGCGGCCAGCCGCCTGCAATCTCTGCATCTGCGCCCGCTCCCTTGCTCCAGCGCCGCGTCTGAACCCGGGAAATGAGAGCCCGCTGGGACTTTCAGACTTGATTCAAGTTTGTCCTGAACGAAAAGCACGAAATGTTGTAGGCTTCCCACTGAGCTGCTCCTCAAGAAACTTCTGTGCTTGTGTTTATGCGGGAGAGCACCGACCTCACAAGCTATGGAGTTGATACTTTGTTTTGTTTGGTGGTCTTACTTTAGTTCCACCCGGCACCAAAATAAACACCTTAATTATTTTGGGTGTACTTTTAATCTTACTCGGAAGATAATCAGAAAAGTAAACAACATAACAAACATATGAGGTTGATTCTAGAATTCTTAAGGAGAAGGTGAAATGATTTTATGGTTTAGTTTGCTGAAGATAATCTTTTTTTTTTTCCGGTTTCCTTGCAGAAAAAAAGACCAAATGGCCAAGCAACCTTCTGATGTAAGTTCTGAGTGTGACAGAGAAGGTGGACAATTGCAGCCTGCTGAGAGGCCTCCCCAGCTTAGGCCTGGGGCCCCTACCTCCCTACAAACAGAACCGCAAGGTAATCCAGACGGTGACGGGGACCGCTGCCCCCACGGCAGCCCTCAGGGCCCGCTGGCCCCACCGGCCAGCCCTGGCCCTTTTGCTACCAGATCCCCACTTTTCATCTTTGTGAGAAGATCTTCTCTGCTGTCCCGGTCCTCCAGTGGGTATTTCTCTTTTGACACAGACAGGAGTCCGGCACCCATGAGTTGTGACAAGTCAACACAAACCCCAAGTCCTCCTTGCCAGGCCTTCAACCATTATCTCAGTGCAATGGGTAAGCCATACCTGGGTAAGAATAGAGGCACTTGGTGTGTGCTTGTTTAAATATTAGTTTCAAGGCTGTGGGTATCATTTTAAAGCCTCGGTTGAGTGACTTATTCTATATTTTGATGGAAACAGAAGATGTTTGGAGATGTCAACATTTTTTTTTAACTTGGAAAGTTTGTGGAATGAATTTATGGAGGTAGAAGCATCACCCTATTGAGCTGCAGAGTTTGATATCTGCAGCCTTCAAGCCAAAGCTTATAACCATGGTATAATTAGTTTTAACCATTAAGCTTAGATATTAATGTCATTGTGTTGGAAAGAGACCTGGTCATACATATAAAATAGTTTAATAACCACCAGGAGTATAAAGAAAGAGAAGGACAAGTTGATTATTTCCCAAGAGAGTGTCCGAAGAGATTGTATATCATCAGAACCAACACAGAACCCTGAAGATGCTTTCATGCCCAAATTCTCTGTTAAGCTCATTCTTGCTTCAAGGGATTGGATTTAGTATGGATGAGATTAGATTGAAGATTTTTATTTCAAGAGCTAAAGACATTGTTAGAATCTTTTTAAAATTATGTTCTTATTTTTGAGATTTCATGCATGCATACAATTTCATTTGATCAAACTCATCCCCTCCCCCAACTCCTCTCCCTATAACAACTCCCAGATCTGTGTGAGAGTCTTAACCAGGAATGGCAGAAAATATTCATGGGGATGCACAGTAAAAGTGGTAAGGGAATAGAACTGGTAGGGTCGGTGATATTTTGGAGAATGACTGCCCTGTCAGCATTAAGGTTGTCCCCAATTATGGCTGTGGGGACATGAGATCTTAGAGTGCAAGTATTTCAGTATCTCGTTGTAACCAGGTCTGCAGATTCTGAAGTCAAATATCCCTAACATTTAAACATTGACAACTTTGGCTCCTTTTGTCACTGTTAAAAGCCAGATTGAGACATCTGTGGACTTGATTTGACTCTTAGACCCCAGGGAAGGGATGGCTCTGCATGTTGCTTCTCCACTAAAAGCAAAAGTTTTTATTTTGATCCTTATCGTCCACAAAGATGTTTGGTGTATGTCAGGCTAGCCTGTCCTGCAGAAGACATCAGGAGCTCGTTCATGGTGTCACTTAGCACATTTGGTATCTGAGCCATGTGTATTTGTATGTTGCCTGAGTTCTGGGGACTGTTAAGCTCTCCTAACTGAAAGGGACTGGAAGTCTTATGTCCGCTATTACTTTGGCTATTACTTGTAGTAGTGTTTTTCTGAACTGGTACTTGCCACTGTTCCACCATAAAGTAGCCTTGTGTATGCAGAATCTACAGCATATTCTGAGTTAACGGGGCTCCCTGGCATATGTGCTTAAAACCCTGTGCATTTGAAAGATCTTCTGGAAGCTATTAGAGTTTTATACTGCTGACCAGGGTAATGGTCTCAGCAGGTGGTGGGATAATCTGGGGAGATATTTTCTCCTTCCCTGTTAACTAGAACAGTGCATGAGTTAGTGCATTTTCTAATGTGAAGATAGTCACAATTATTTTGTTTTGGGTCCTGTACTATTTAGGAAGCCAATTGCAATGTCATTCACCATGATTTGAGATGACAGATGCGGAGCTTTAAAGATCACAATCTTAAATTCTAAGGCAGAGTTAATGGCTCTACCTATGTGGTGTTAACTACACTCTGCTAGTTTGGGAAATAGCTTAAAGGTTAATGCATGGGTTTAAACAATAAGTTACTGGGTTTGGATGAAGTTAATGCGCCAAGGTTGGTTTTTAACAGTAAGTTCTTGAGAGATTTGTTTGGGGAGGGGATATGTTGGGATGGGGGGGGCGTAGAAATTACTGGTGGCTAAGAGGACTTAGCCAGATATGAGGTTATTAAATATACTTAGAATGTTGGTCCACAACTGATTTTTCTTTCCCCAGCTGTCCTTGGCTGTCCTCACAGTCTTGCTTCTGCCCATCCATAAACTCCTTAGGCTAAGCTGAGATGGGGTCTTTATCTTTTTGGAGTTGTTTAATATTTTTTACTCAACCATTAAGATCTTCAATGGTGCTTTTGATAAGTTACTGCAAAATGCGTTTTTCACAAAGGAGCCTTTATGATTGTATGACCCAGTGGAACACAAATGGGAGGTTACACAGAGGTCCTGCTTAGCTAGGGGCTCCTCTTCTCCACTGGCAACACGTGATAGGAGACAGAGTGTGTCTGAAAGGCTGTGTCCTTGTATCCTTCCCCCACTGATGTATTGAGATTGAACCTAGGACTAGGGCTTGCCTCATTAAGGCAGAGTCTCCCATTACTGAGCTGAACCCCACATCCTTGTATCTTTACTGTACTGGAAGAGCCTCATTAGAGATACACAGTAGGTAGATACTGTATTAGAGATGTCTTCACAGTTTCCTCCATATCTGATTTTTCTGAAAATATCTTGAAAGAACATTTTGTTTACCCTGTGGAGGTCAGTGTAATGAATTGCCCTTTTACTTAATATTTGCCTCCATATGCTCTGGGAAGATTGATTTGCCAAACCATTTCTTGGTGAACTGACTGTCTCAATAAAAACCTTCCACAAACCCACTGGCTGACTTTTCTAGTGTTTTTATGTCATATTTGTTTTTCCCTCACACTAATTGATCTTTGTGCACATTCTCAATCTGAAGCATAGTCAGTATGAAGTAGAAATGCAAAGTAGATGAATGTCATTGATTGACAGTGGCGTCTCTGTGAGGTATTTGTGAACGTCTTACACTTTGGGCTTGTGCCTCCCTCGCAGAGCAGAATTCACGGGTCAGAGTTAATTTTCATTCTTCTTTGTACCCCTCGTCCTATGGCAATTGGCCCCTTCTTTAGATTGAGAGCCTATCTATGCCACAGTGTGTCTAACAGAAGACCCCAGACATTGGGATCAGTGTGCTGTGTGTGTGTGAGCCTGTCCGTGGAGCTGTTTTTTTACCATGCTGAGAGTGGAGTCCTACATAAAGCAGGATTTGATAGCACAGATCAAATCCAGAGCATCTGTAACGAGATGGAAGGGGTCCTCTGACCTCTGAGTTTGTGCCCCCCATCATAGACACACCCCACATGTGCGTGTATGTATACACACAAGTAAATGAAGTTGCTTCTTGGGCGATCCCTGTAGACACTCGTTTCATCTGCATATAGGGAGTGTTTAGTTTCTTTCCCTGCCCTATTGCACTGACTAGAACTTAGTAATTATGTTGGATAGCAGTCGTAAAGGCAGCTTTCTGTCTAAAGAGTAACATCATTAACTATATATTAGCTATAGGTGTTTTGAAGATACTTCTTTAAAGTAATAAAAATTAGGAAGTTTTACCTAGACTCCTAAGTTCCTGAGACTTTTCAGAGTTAGGTTTTAATGATGTGTTTGTACTCTGATTCTGTTAGTTTGTTGGTGTGGTGTATTACAGTGTTTGATTTGCATTGTTAAATTCTCTCTGTATGCCTGGGATAAATTGTATTTGGGCAGAACATATTTGTATACACTGCTGGGTTGAATTGAGTATTTTATCGAGAGATTTCTACACCTTGAGAGGTATCTGTTATAGCTGTTTGCTTTTGATATTAAGGCCTTAATGACTTGAGAAAAGTCCCTCTCTTATATTTCCAGAAGAAACTATGAAAAGTAGCATTAACGCTTTGGAGTTTTGTTTGTTTTCTTTTGTTTTGTTTTTTGAGACAAGACCTCATATAGCCCAGGCTGTCCTTGAATTCACTGTGGCCAAAGATGTGCTTGGTGCTTGATCTGCTCTCTCTGCCTCCACCTCCCCAGTGGTGAGATTACAGACATGTGCCACTATGCCCTTTGTATGCAATGCTGGAGATCGAACCCAGGGCTTCATGCATGGTAGGCAAGCATTCCACTAACTGAGCCACAAGCTCAGCCAGTGTTGACTTCTCTTGTGAGACTGTGGTCTTAGACTTCTGGGCGGGTATATACATTTTAGATTCTAGACCTATTTCTCTGTGTTTATGTGCTTCTAGGACTACTCTGGTAGCCAGCTTCATCCTGATTATACTTTGGTGGTTTGTGGGTTTTGAGGAAGGGGCACGGTTTTTCTAATTTGTTGAATTTATGGATGTAAAAGGCATTTGTAGCATTCTTATTGTTTCAGATGAACGTGGGTTCTGTTGTGATAAGCTACTGCGGCAGCCTCCTGTAGGCTGGTCTGTTTGAATCCTTGGTTCCCCTTTGGTGGAACTGTTTGGAATGGATTAGGAGGTGTGGCCTTGTTGGAGGAAGTGTGGCCCTGGGGGTGGGCCTTATTGTTTGAAAAGCCTGCAGGTAAATAATAATGTGCCCTTTGAGAATACAGATGTGAGCTGTCAGCTGCAATTCCAGCTGCCACATCCTCTCTCTGCCATCAAAAACTTTGTCCCTCTGGAACCTTAAACCCCATTAAACTTTATTTTATAAGTTGCCTTGGTCTTGGTGTTTTATCTCAGCAATAGCAAAGTAACTAAAATAGCTTCTTCTTGATGTTGATAATTTGGGCCAAAAACAAACAAACAAAAACAACTGTCAGCCTTCTTAAAGGTTTATTTTCTTGCTTTTTAAAAGAAATGATTTTTGTTTCATTGATTCTTTTTATCCTGTATTATCTCCTCCTCTTTGCTTTTTGTTAGTGATTTCTAGCCTAGCTTTTTGAGCCTAGGAACATAGAGGGTGGTTTGAGGCTTTCCTTTTTGCTGGCATGAAGCACCCAGAGCTGGAATTGTCCTGTTCACCCATGCTGGGGCTGTCACCCTTGACACATGTTTTGGTGTAATGGTTTTCATTTTCATTAAACTTATGTGCTTATCTTTGTTTTCTTTGCACTGTCCTCTTCAGCTGAGGGCTACTTAGAAGCGTAGTGTTTCCTTTTTAAGTATATGAGGTTGTCCTGAGGTCATTCTGTTACCCCTTTTATAGTTTTGTTTAAGTGATCAGAGTTGTTTAGTTTTTCTTTCATTTTGTTGTTTGTTTTTGTTTTGCTGAGG